CAAAAAACATCTACTTTACTTTGAATTACCTTCCAACACAACAAGGCAGAAATTGTTGAACGAAACTATAAAGATAAACTAAAGATCTCATACCAAACAATGGCAATGACACCATTCGACAGGATAACAGTCCTCAAGAGGTTGATTTTACCTTCCCTAAACCCTCTTTTGACCATGCTTCCTAATCCAAAAAGAAGAATAATACATGCTCTACAAAAAAGATGTTTAGGTTTATGTGGAAGGATAAACCCGATAAAATAAAACGTACTACTGTAATACAGACATATGAAAATGGTGGACTTAATATACCCTCATTTAGGAAACAATACAGTATCAAAAGATCTCTTGGTTAAGAAGAAATATCAATCGATGCGAAAATAGAAACACTCATAGATATTAACATTACAACAGAAACTTTGTTTCCAACCGAGATGGGAAATAACTATTTGCGCAATTTTATTGTTCCCAAAATACCTAATCCTTTTTGGCGTGATGTCTATGAAGCATGGGCAAAATTACAATCAATACAAGAACACGATATGGCAGATACACCAAAACAATTTATAAGGGCAAATGACAAAATAACTGTTGCTAAGAAACCTATAATATACAGACACTCCCAACTCCATTGCCGGCGCAGCTCTTCGGCAAGGGTCCTTCGGCTGCGTCTTGCCAGACAAATTAGGACTCGGTGATCACGGTCATTGGTCTTTCTCGGCCTTCCAGGTCCGGCACGATTTAGGGCAGGGCTTGTGTAATTCCGTGGGAATTACATGTTTATTTGGGGAACCTATACTGATTGCAATCACTATAGTGTATGGATTCAGAAAAAAAGGTTCCAGTTTTTCTGTTTGCTGTAATTGTCATTGTGGGGTGATTGAATATGAGTTCCCAAACTTGCCTGCGACACCATTTCGAGAAAAACATATTTTCATAAACCTATCACAACATAGTCATGTAGCATATCAAAAGGTAGCTTATGATGTATGCTATAGAAATAACCATATATATGCTTCTAATTTCAATTTGGTGACATAAAATGTGACATAATCATATAAATTAATCAAATATTGTCTTTCCGTCATCGGACACCAACATTGTAAGTATTGGCCTATATTAATGGAAACCATTTATTCAATTAATGTATTCTCCCATTTCATAATACAAACTACCATGACACACTTATGTAGTAATAATAGTACCCAGGTAAGGTTAATGTGACTATCATAAAGTCGTGCATAAGTGTTAATCAGGCCTACCGATACAGTCAGAATTGACTCACTGACACTCGTGTCTGGGTAATTAAATGACAAATGACATAAAGCCAAATCTCCAGTCAATATAAACTGAATATATTAATACAGGAGTGACAAATTATATCATAGTGAACAGATAACTACATATTACAAGTGGGGTATATATATAATGTGCAATATATAATGTGTACTAGTATATTTATTTTAACTTTCACATTGTTAAGTAACTTGCATAGTCAATCAATCAGTCATTAACCTGAAAGACCAAACTATGCTGTTGAAATACAAGCTTCGAAATTATTTCACATACAAACACAAGCATGAATTCTACTCATATGCATATTGTTTTTTTGAGAACATGCCTCCACCTTGCACAGCAATCTCCAGTCACTATTACATTGTTAAAGTACTACTGTGTACTTGTACTTTAATGTACTTTCACCAAACACTACGCAGGTATGTCTTGTGTCATATCTAACATAACCACCAAGCTTTATTCAAATCCATCCATAGCCTTTTGAAATATTAATCATATTCATCATTTATTTAACATTGCGATTATTTTCAGTACCTAAATGTACATGTACTTTAACATACACTCTTCAAACAAAGAAACGCAAAATGAAATTTGAAGATAATAATCAAAAGTTTGCAGGCATATGTCAAATCAAGCTTCTTTTGAGGGTTGAATATTGTTTGTTGTTGGTTTGGTTTTGAAGAAGATGCGTGAGCGACTGCAACCATAAACGGTTTTGAAAGGTTTTATCGATCAAGATTGTCATGATGAGCTTGACTGTTATGGAACACAACCAAAAGCCGCAATTATTGCTGTACATGTGCAAATGCATCTCGCAAATTCATCCAAGATACTTGTCCATACTGGATGAGAAAATAGGAAGTCTCAACGGTGCCCACCGACATATATCCACTGGACGATTACAAGCTGGCGAATCCAAGAGTGTCGTGGCGAGGACCTTCAGCATTCATCCCAGCACAATAACTCGTTTGTGGGATCGTTTGGTGCATTCCATTCGACAAATGACCATCCAAGACCAGGAAGACCGAGAGTAACCACACCAGCCCAAAATCCGGGTAACCCACATACGTGACTGCCATCGCTCCGCCCTGGACACAGCACAAGAATGGTTTGGAGCCCGTAGAAGGTCCGACCAGACAATCGGAACCGTCTCCGAGAGGCAGGTAGGAATGGAGAAGGATTCCACAACGAAACATCCAAGAACTGATTCGATCTGTGTCAAGGAGGTGTCGTGTAGTTCTAGCAGTAAGAGGTGGTCATACAAGATAGTAACGTCAATGCCACCTCGTTGACAGCTGTAATGACTATGATGACTGTCATTCTTGTGAAATGTGCACGAGATACCAATGTATTGCTCTACATAATTTCCGTTTATTTTTTGTTGATTTACATATAATATGAATAAGACCAAATTTTCAATGGTATTTTGCTTTTGCGGGTGTTTTTTAAAGAGTGTATTGTCTTCACCATTAAATTGATTTGTCCTGGGTACACACCCAAGAGATCCAGTAAATTTCATTGAAATCCATCTAGTAGTTTTTGAGTAAAGTTGCTAACATATAAACACACACGCAAACAGGGTTGAATATATACCCTCGGCAACAAACCTTCGGCTTTGGCAGAGGCAGTTATGATCATAGTAATTATTAAGCACATATATTATTGAGATTCATGATATATAATGGTAGTTGTAAGGCACCCATCGCAAGGTACATTTTGATATATTACTTGCCTATGTTGTGATAGGTTTATAAAAATATGTTTTCTCACATTGGTGTTGCAGCTCGATTATGGGTACCGATGTTCAGTTACCCCAGAATGACATTTATAATCATCAGAAAAAATGGAACCATGTTCTTTCTGAATCCATATGCAATACTGATTGCAGTTATCAGTGGTTCCAAAAATTAGCATGCACTTTCCACGGAAAGCATATTTGCTACACAAGCCCTGCACTAGTTGTTTACTTCCCCGGTGGCCACGCGCTTCCTCAACAGTCGACGTATAACCGTGTTGTTCATGTTCGACGTAGAACCGTGTTGTTCATGTTCGACGTATAACCGTGTTGTTCATGTTCGAGGACATCCCTACGTTATGCAGGCTAATAACCAGGTTTTGCAACTGTGTATTTGTTAAGACGGTCAGAAAACTGTTGTACCCGTGTTGCTGAATGGTCACTTTACAAATGGCATGGTGTATCCACAGCTTTCGGCCGTGGGAGCCGTGCCAAGTTACACTTGCTAGAGGGGAACACAAAGTACGGGATCTAGACCACCAGTTGTCAGAGTTCCAAATTTTGTAGATGCTGCGCTGGCTGAGTGGGTTGGACTGACTTATTGGTTCAAACTTTTACACCAAAGGATAGAAATCTAAAGCAGTGCTATATTATGTTGCACATTTAGACAAAGTTGGTAGGAAACCGTGGGTATGTTTTGTCCGAAATAGTTTGTTTTGGGTTGTGTTTGGGTTGTGTTTGGGAACCTCAAGTTGTTGGCAACAAGGAACAGTTTTTACAAGATTTTAAAGAGTTAGTGATTGTCAAAAGCAATTCATATTTTCTGAACTGCACAAATGTTCATCACTTGATGTTTATTCCAGTTTCAAAATTGTATTTTGCATTAAACCATATTTAACTTTATTGAAATCTAAAGATGCGAGGCGTAGAATAACAATGTTACGAATCGGTGCACTTCCAATATATGAAAATACCAGTAGATTTGATGGAATTTCGAGGCACCAAAGACTTTATAATATTTGTAATGATAATTTTGTAGAAAATGAATTTCATTTCCTATTTGAATGTAAAATGTATCATGATTTGCGCTGTAAGTATTTTAAAGCATTACCAAATTACATAGACCAGCAATACTTTCTGAACACATTGTCACGTACGAATGTTTCAACAGCAACAAATTGTTCTACTTACAGTAAGGAAGCATTGTCATTGCGTTCTTTATACAGATGAATTTGGCTGTCAATTGCCGCTATCTTATAATTACACTTGTTTATTTGTATTGTACGTGGGCCTAAGGCCTTGTTACGAAATAACTTGAATTCGGAATTCGGAATGAATGGGGAAATATAGTGACATGTGAAAGGAAATGTTGCCAAGAGGAAATGTTGAATGTTGTGCAATAGTGTCTCATCTGTACAGTGTCATGACAAACACGAATCCCACTGAACTGTGAACATTTGAATAAACACAAGTGTGTTACACCTTGTCTGTTACACATGGCCTGTTTTACCAATGGCCGGAGACACCTTGTCTATGCAGCACACTCTCTGTTTCACACCTTGTCTCTGTTACACCTTGTCTGTTAAATCTGGCCTGTTTTACACATGACTGGTACATCTGAACTGTGTTACATCTGTTCTCTGTTACACCTTGCATTTTAAACCTGGCCTGTTTTACACAGTCTGTTTTTACACCTGATCTCCGTTACACCTGGTCTCTGTTACGCCTTGTCTGATCTGTTTTAACCTGTTCTCTGTTATACACGACAGGTCTGACAGCTTGTTCTCTGTGACAGGTTACACCTTGTCTGTGTTACACTGTGCCTGTTTCACCTGGTCTCTGTAACAGTTGGCCTCTGTTACGCATGGCCGGTTACAGCCTGTCTGTGTTACACTTTGTCTGTTACACTTGGTCTCTTTACGTATGATCAGTAACACATTGTTAAATCTGGTCTGCGCTGTACCTAGCTTGTGTAGCAGGGTCACAATGACGACACGCAAAGTGAATGCAGGGTTGTAAGTTCTGTTTATTTCCAAGTGGATGGAGATTTCAACATACACGATAAACCCTGAAACAATCGTAGCAACAACATAATAACAATATAATAACAATGTTCGGCATGTTTGCAGAACATACACTGACATCTATTTATATATATTCAGTATATTAACATTATAAATGTTAATAGAGCTTGAATGCATGAGCGCCGACGATATTATCTGTACATTAAAACATTACGGAAATATAATGATCGCCGAGGGATTGAACTTTACAAAGATCAGGGGCGATAACTCATGACATGACTTAAACAAAGCCATAAATGATATCGGCGGCAATCACCGCACAACATACACTATTTACCTTAGAAGGTTAATATAAAGGAACGATGATTCTGTATGCTAGAATGATATATACACATGATATAAACAGTATTGTACGGCACATTACATACCCTATGTATGGCACAGGGGCCCGTGTTTATGCCTGGCTGCCATAGCAGACGATGGAATAATGTGTGCTGGAAATAACATAGATTCCGATCAAAACCAAACCGATTCAGTGTAAACTGTCCATGCAGACATAACAATAAGCATGGAAAGATATATTTTATACACTGTAAAATCTTAGATTGAGACACTTTGCCATTATTTGTGCAAAATGCGATAATAATAATTAGACAACATTCATACACAAAGCATACTCACAATGCCTCGCTTTGAAGTTATTTCATGCTATTTATGGGAATATATAATACACATTAAAATGGAAAGTTTGTGTTTACCCGCGTGCCGATTACAACACATGTTAACTACCCTGACGGCATTAATTACCCTTATTAATATACGCTATGTGTTTAAGATTACTTATTGAATGACTGCTACATTAGATATGCATAAACATTATTTAAGATAGTTAGTTTACTAACCTGATGAAAATTAAGTTGACGCCTATGTTCGTCTGTCTCTCACACAAGTTTTGTCAGTTGTGTCAGGGTGCGAGGTGTTCAGGCATAGAAAAAGCATGCAGGTTTGAATGGACCAATCGTAACGTGTTGTCACGTTTGGGTCGACACTATTGGTTGTATTACTAAAACTAAGCGATTAACTATATGAATTGTTTCAGAGCTGATATGAGCTGAAATCAAGAAACTTATTTAAAATACATGAATTGTTAACTATTTCATTTTCAGTCACTGTAGTGAGTTGAAACAAAGCAATATATTAAAATACATACGACCTTTTACATAACGCCTATTGGATGCTGAAATAAAGACGCCTGATTGTTGATGCTGAATAGTGTCTCAAAAGCTAACTGAATTAATGTAACATTTCAATACACATACCAAACCTGTCCCTGCCACACTGGCCTGTTTTATAATGTAAATGGTCTATGCAGCACACTCTCTGACATTGTCTGTGAAATCTGTCCTGTTTTACACATGATGGTACATGATCTGTATTACATACATCTTGCATTATAAACCTGGCCTGTTTAACACAGTCTGTTTTTACTGATCTCCGTTACACCTGGTCTCTGTTACGCCTTGTCTGACAAACATGGTCTCTGCTATACATGGCCGGTTACATTTTGTCTGTGTTACACCTGGTCACCTGGCCTCATTGACACGTGATTGACACGGCGACCGTCTGTTGTGAAACAAAGGAACTTAGATCTAGAGAGGAGATATTAACGCACACCGTCCTTCACTTTTCCTTGTCCGGAACACAATTAATACACCATGCAGTATTTCTTCTGATGAAATAGTGTTACACTGTCCTGTATTCACATCAGCTGAGCTAAATTATATCTCTGCAGAGCCTTTAACTTTGAATCAGGTAAACCCTGAAACTGTGTATATTGCTTGTCAGGAAATGTGGACGTGACATTTTCCAGGCACTAAATTGTAATGTCACATGAAATTATACTAACTTTTGTAATTGAACAGTTTTGATTGGTTCAGTCATGTACATTGTTCCTGTTTTATTTGTTTTCCTCTGTAGATGTTGTCAAGGTAACCGAGAAGAAACAGCAGTGTTTCGCTATAGATAGTCGATAGATTTTCTGTGAAAAGAATGTTAATATATAATACATTTCTGTCCACTTGAAGTATTCATATGTCAATGTTTTATCAGGACAATCCAACGTTTGTTTGTGACGGTAACAAAGCTTATCGGTCATATGGCACATCAGAATACTTGAGTTTTTATATCCCTGTAAACAATAGAAATAAACTACTCAGGACAAACATCTATGGATGTGTGCATGTTCCCCGAATATTATAGCATTTGGTAAATGTTTTCAGGACACAGGACCTAGTATTATCCCAGATATCATCAAGATGATATCCATTCCGCCCTCTGTTGTCTCCTTGAGCCATCCGTACAAAAACAATCTACTCGAGAGACCACGTATGAAGTCAAGTGTTTGTGATTCACGTATCAGGTACCGTGTTAGTGATGCGTGGCATGTGTTTGTTTATATAGTGGACCTTTAAGTTCTGAAACAACATTGTCAATGTGTTCGTTGCACATGGTTTGTTTTACATGAAGATCCGTAAACCGTACTCAAGTAGCATGATAAACGCTTGCAGTGATGTATAGAGTGACTAGATATTTGTAGACACTACCTACGACTGTGTGCTTTATCGCTGTGTAGTTTTATTTGTAGTTTTGTTCACTACCTACGTCACTGTGTGCTTTACCCCATCGCTGTGATGTATAGAGTGACTAGATATTTGTAGTTTTGTTCACTACCTACGTCACTGTGTGCTTTACCCCATCGCTGTGATGTATAGAGTGACTAGATATTTGTAGTTTTGTTCACTACCTACGTCACTGTGTGCTTTACCCCATCGCTGTGATGTATAGAGTGACTAGATATTTGTAGTTTTGTTCACTACCTACGTCACTGTGTGCTTTACCCCATCGCTGTGATGTATAGAGTGACTAGATATTTGTAGTTTTGTTCACTACCTACGTCACTGTGTGCTTTACCCCATCGCTGTGATGTATAGAGTGACTAGATATTTGTAGTTTTGTTCACCTACGTCACTGTGTGCTTTACCCCATCGCTGTGATGTATAGAGTGACTAGATATTTGTAGTTTTGTTCACTACCTACGTCACTGTGTGCTTTACCCCATCGCTGTGATGTATAGAGTGACTAGATATTTGTAGTTTTGTTCACTACCTACGTCACTGTGTGTGCTTTACCCCATCGCTGTGATGTATAGAGTGACTAGATATTTGTAGTTTTGTTCACTACCTACGTCACTGTGTGCTTTACCCCATCGCTGTGATGTATAGAGTGACTAGATATTTGTAGTTTTGTTCACTACCTACGTCACTGTGTTGGTAAATCACCCTCTTTCTATCAAGCACTAAGACGCAATATGTAAGAACGCGCACGTTAAATATCCAAATCATCACCATCATCATCATCATCATCATCATCATCAGGGCTGATGATCATCACGGTCATCATCATCATCATCATATCATGCAATCTTTGATTAGTAAATCATCATTTATTGCTTATAAATTATGCACGATCATCACATCAAATGTATATTTTACATCGTGGAAATGTATTTTACTGTAACTACAGATATCGTAGTGACTCAGAGGTGCGATTAAATGTCTTGTATAACTCATTCACCTCAACCTCACGCCTCCAATCAATATTCACCAGGTAAAACATGGTATCGTTGTAGTGTGAGTCTTTGTCCTGGGCCGGCGATTGTCTCAGTCTGAGTGTGGTCTCATCAGTGGTCATTGGACAGTACAATGATGTTCGGTGTGATGAAGTGGAATATCCTAAACAACAACTGACTGACATAGTACAATAGTTCAATATTTCACATTTAAGAAGAACGACTCGTGTGGAACAGATGGCTCGGTCATTTCGGCATCAAGCGGGTCGGATGGCATATGGAGAATCTTCTTCTTGATGAACATCCTGGCAATAAAACAGCACCTGCAGCACCAACAACAACAGCCACTAATGTACCGCCGACAACGGCGACGATTACAACCGGGCTTGGCGTCTGCATCGGTAGTGACTCGTCCGACTGCATGGGTAGTGACGTGGACGACTGCCACGGTAGCTTTGTTTCGGCAGTTACTTCGCCTGTAAGTGTTACTTGTTTGAAAGTTGCCATAGCTATCTTGGATTTATCAGAGTCGTGATTGACTTCATCAAAGGTCACCATGGCAAACCCGACCGTCGTCCAACCAACGGGTGTCTTGATCGTCATCTCCTCCCTGCTGTTGGCGGGGCTGGGCGCCAAATGTCCAGATATGATCATATTTGGTGTCACGTTTAGGCAAGACGAGAACTCATTTCTCAGTGCGGCAGTAGTTTCTGCGATTCGTATTTCATATCTGGAAGCTGAAAAATATACTTAGAAAATTGATTTAGAAACAGGAATCAATCTGCTGTCTAGAATGAACATATGATATAAAGCGTCCAGAAATATCGGTGGTGCGAGAAGGGATCTGACTCTGTGTGCCTTATCTAAAATACGAGGTTGGTCCACATTCTAAACTAAACAGACTGGTACCGTCTACGTGCATGAAAAATGTGCATCAAACTGCTGTTTGGTGTTTCAAAATGTATTTCGAGATTTTTAATTTGAATTACTACAGCAGAATTCACTTCTACGATCATCGCTAAACGACATTGTTGTCTCATTAAAAGTATTACTGAAAACGTTTCTAATGACCAAGTTCCATTCAGCTGTAAACATATATATTTTACCGGCTCATATGGCCCACGTCCTTCACGGTAGAACTGGGTGCCCATTGCTTCTCAAAATGTTATGTCATAGTCATAACTAATAGTCATAGTCTTTGTTTACCTATCGTGGATGTACCGTCATATTAAATCATTCATAAAGACATACCCTTCAAAATGAGGACAATATATGTTGATAACTGTTGTTCTTTATCCATGGTGGACCATGGTGTATCATGGTGGGTCATGGTGTATCATGGTGGGTCATGGTGTATCATGGTGGGTCATGGTGGGTCATGGTGTATCATGGTGGGTCATGGTGTATCATGGTGGGTCATCGTGTATCATGGTGGGTCATGGTGTATCATGGTGGGTCATGGTGTATCATGGTGTATCATGGTGGACCATGGTGGGTCATGGTGTATCATGGTGGGTCATGGTGGATCATGGTGGGTCATGGTGTATCATGGTGGGTCATGGTGTATCATGGTGGGTCATGGTGAATCATGGTGGGTCATGGTGTTCATGGTGGGTTAAGAAGTGTATCATGGGTTTACCTATCGGTGTACAGTCATGGTAAATCATATGGGGGTATGTTGATCATGGTGGGTGGACCATGGTGTATCATGGTGGGTCATGGTGTATCATGGTGGGTCATGGTGTATCATGGTGGTCATGGTGTATCATGGTGGGTCATGGTGTATCATGGTGGGTCATGGTGTATCATGGTGGACCATGGTGTATCATGGTGGGTCATGGTGTATCATGGTGTATCATGGTGGGTCATGGTGTATCATGGTGGGTCATGGTGTATCATGGTGTATCATGGTGGGTCATGGTGTATCATGGTGGGTCATGGTGTATCATGGTGGGTCCACAAATTCAACCTAAAGAAGTCTAACGATTTACAAATGTTTTGTTCCGTATCTCCGACGGATGAAGTTGCACCGTTATTTAAAAAAAAACGGTTATGTACGTACGTTTCATGCAGTTTCACAATATTCAAACCAGCACTCCCTTTATGTTGCACGCAACACAACAAACAAAATATTTACCAGTGCCGACATTGAGATCGTCCCCAGGTGCAGTCCAGGTCAAGGTCACTGTATGATTTCTGGTATCAAAAGAGATGACCTTCAGATCGGTGACTCTACTCGGGGCATACATGTCTTTTCCTTTCTCAAAGCCATCCACGTCCATTGCACCAGCAGAGGTTGAGCGGGTGAAATTCTCGGCAAGTTTAGTTGTGACAGGGGAGTAACGTCTGGAAACAAACCATGTTCTCAGGTTACAGATCTACCAGGTAACAGTGAATGTCATGGGATGTAAAGCTCAGTTACCATTACCGGCGTAATGTGGTGACAAATAATGCCCTCATCTAAACACAAATAGATACATACTGTGAAATCTTGAGTTTGCCCTCCCGAAGGCGGGACCTCCCTGAATGAAGTAGCGTGTTTTGTGAGCGATGGTCCTCACGTCTACATCCAGGGAGTATCTCTCGTTTCCGCTGAACTGGGTGAAGTACACGGAATACACCCCGTCGTCGGCCATGTTGTCCGGCACTGTAACAGGGACAGCCTCTCGTTAACGATGTTCATGTATATCAGAGTAGTTCGTCTCACTTGTACTTAGTGTGAATCTAGTTACATACACGTTCTCAGTAAAGTACAGATTCTAGTTACATTTTTGGTTGAATTCCATCTGGGATTCGAACCCACACTCTCAGTCAGGACCCGCCAGCACATAAAGTCAGCGATCTAACCGAATCAGGCACCCAGGCTTCAATAGAGGTGAAAGTGGTATACTTGGTGTACCGACCTGACGAGTGACGACTGACACGGCTTACACGACAGAAAGCTTTGAATACAGAATGTCATTTAGAAGGTGGTTAATGTAATACTAGTATTTGTCATGTTTGGAATTACACTTCCTCAGTGACGTCACTCAGTCTGCTTCTGATTCTATACACACACCACCTAACCAATAACCAAAGTTACATCTGGACACTTGTGGACACGTACATGAACATACGCTAAAAGGAGTTGATGACCCCGAAGTGACTCCGAACTGATATGTTCTCATCGACATGGTTACAGAAAGCTACAATTCAAAATTTAATATAATACACAAGACCCTGTATCTAAACGTGTCACACCTGAAACCACGTGGTCACTATGTGCATCCAGGAGTACTTCTCATCCTTCATGAGAAATGCTGACTCCCGTCAAACGTCATACAAAACAACCGTATTGGAAACACACATACATACAGTCTTCATACCATGTCCAATGCTATAGTATACATATATATTTTCCACACTCTGTAGATAGATCCACGTTATACTTACATGTCCCGTCATCCTGTGGTTTTAGAGTCACGGGAGGACCAGTTGGTCGTTCTACAATCACAGTAACGTCAGCGTCGACAACGGGGGAGTAGCCTTTGCGTACACTGACATAGACGATAGGTTTAACTGGGTTAGCTATGGAGAGATCAGCGCCCGTGGAGGACAGCCAGGAGTTGATCTCATAGGGTTGGGCGTGGTCCGCGGGGAGCGCCTTCACCACAAGGGTCACTGTGCCAGATGTCGGGCTCCACAGTGAATAGCGCCATACCCCTGTCTGAATACATAAACAAAGTTAAAACACGAATGTCTTTGTGATGACTGAAACGGCCCATGATTGTTTTAGTAATAAACTCTTATACCTGTGCTTTGTGGAAGTTGAATCTGACGATGTTGAGTGTGGGGTCGATGGAATATTCACTACTTCCTAGAGGGCTTCATACTTCACGCCATCAGGGGGGTATGAAAAGGTCACCTAAAACACAACACAAATGGCTTTTGTCAGGCCCTTACATAAGCTACTACTTTCCCCGGTGCACCACGATACATATACATGTAGCTTGTCTCTTATCGGACGCTGGTGGACGCTTTGGGTATGTTAATACCGACTTTAAGAAATAGAACCCAACAGGGCTTGTTTTTCGCCATTGAATCTGGCGTGTTTGATGTGTTGTTTCACCACGTACTTCTTAACACCCTTAGCCTTCCGGATCTTACCATTGTCGGCCTTCAGGATGGAGTACATCTTAGGCCTCAAACCTATGTACTCAGCTATGGGCGTGCCAGCACACTTGTCCTTCATCTTACCTAGGACCTTTTTATTTACCGTGCTGTATATGGCATGGTCCTTGGGGTAGTCGCTGGTGTCATACAAATCGAGGCGTTTCTTCATGTCCTCGTACACATCCTCGGTTCGAATCTCCATCAGCAGGGAATCCGTGTCAGTGTACAGCACTTCACACCTGTCGTCGTAAACAGGCCGGTTGAATTTTATGTGGCTTTTCTTCATGTGTAGGGCAACCATGTCGTCGGTGAATATCTTGCTACGGTTGAATGCCGGGCTGGCTATCAGTCTCCTGAGCTTGTCTTCCTCATTCGACCGAACCAGCTTCACGGTCACGCGTTTCCTCAGGTTCACCATAGTCTTACCAAACACCGAGTTGTTCATGAGCTTGTAGAGGTTTTTCTCAAAGTCACTGGTGGCAAGCTTCCGGAGGTCTGTGTTCATTCTGATGTATGGCTCCATCCATGGGCTCTGGTTGAACACGAGCACCCTGTGTATTTTGGTCAGCTTCATACCCAACGACAGGTACAGCTGTAGGTTGCGATAGTGAACGATGTACTTGGTCTTATTCATTAAGTTGGGTACGAGTTTTCAACGTCTGTCACCCGCCCACCAAACAAGTTATGTTGGTACTCAGACATCCAGTCTGGGTTAACCCTCATACGTTCGGGGGCCAGGGGGTAGCTGTTGTGTGATGTGTGTAATGCCTTGGGGTATTCTAAGTCAACCTCGAGGATATAACCTTTGTTCGAATCGTCCGTGATGCTCATAACATCGATCTCGGACGATACCCGGCCGATATCGGCCGATACCCATTCGAATCCCCCTGTGGGTAGATACTGGCTCATGGCCCAACCGTACAGGTTGTTGGCGTCGAGATAGAGAATATGATTGATTGGCTTGCTCACGGGTTGTAGCCCTTCACGTATTGATTATTTGCTTTCGCGTATCGTTTGGTTTCCATGGAAATCCCGCCTAGCAAGCCTTTCTCAATGAATAGGTGTAGTCGTAATCTGTGAGCAATTCCAACTTAACTCCGGTCTTTTTCAGCAAGGCATCCTTACCTTACAGACCTGGGCTGGTGTAATACCACGCGGGTCGAAGTTGATACTGCTTGAAACACGTCCGCCTAAACGCCTCAAACACGCCGGGCTAACAGCAGTACATCTGTCCTCACGCACAGGTCGTGATAGTCACCCAGCTTCTACAGCCCAGTTTATTCCATACCTAATAGCGCATGCAGTAATCGCCTTTGGGATATTGCCGAAGTCGGTCAGATTGCTGTAAAATTCTCTGATGGAGGGTAGTCTGTCTCGCTAATCTTGGCTCCAGCCATCCATGTACTCATAGGGGTACACACCCTTCCTCATCAGCAGGGGTCTAGTCTCGGCGTCGGTGTATCGATCGGTGATGGGGAAGGTATCGTTGGCCTTGACCAGACTGTCGAGTGACGACAGGAGGAACTGAACCGAGTCGATGAACCTCAGGCCATTCAAGCTGAAGGAGATGTATCTCTCCATGTTGTTGGGGATGCACGTTAGGTTGCCGCCGACTTTCGCGATGGCTTGCATGATCAAGTAAGAGTCATACCCTCTCAAGTTGTGAAAGACCACGGGGATGTTTATTGTCTTGGGGTTGATTCTAAGCTTGAGGTTGCATGCGCTGCGAGCGGCGCCTCTATACTTATCGTTCAGTGGTGAGTCACACACGTGACAATTAGTGCTACAGGCGTGGGCTAGCCGGTCGGCTTTGGTCATAAGCATGGGAGCGACTGTATACAGTGCATTCCCTAATAATTTTTTCTTCCTCCTGCAAACGCTTTAGAAACTTTTCAGCCGCGTCGGGACCCCTGTACACTACGGGAGCTTTCGTTTTCCCATCACAACGGACGACTACGTATCCAAACCCACAGGCCTCATGCTCCTGTGTTTTCTGTGTGAAGCTCTCGCCTGTGGGAGTAGCCCCGGCAACCTCAATGGGTTTGACCAAGGCTTCAAAGTCGGCATAGATGACATAAGGCACAGACATTTGGTTTTTGTGGCTGCCGAATTTTAGGATATTGTCACCTTCCTTAGGCATGTCGACTCGTATGGCCGTCTGCCCCACACCTTGGCAATCCTCCCGGTGGGTTTCTAGTAAATCAGCTCGTGTGAAGCCGTGTAGGCACCGTTCGCAGAAGTGGCTCTTTTCTCTGTGTGCCGATTGGTCATACAACAGCCTGCTAAAATGTTTTATCCATGCGTAGTGGTGCTTGTCACCTCGCTGGATCATGAATATATTGATAACGCGGCGTGGGGCGGTGCCCCCCTGTTCCCCCAACGGACTGACCCTGTGCACTATTGTTGTGTTACCTTCGTGCCCAAAGACGTTTATAGCTATATTATTCTGTTTTTCTATTTTAGTGATCTGAGATATGGGGGTGGGTTCATCTATACCATCCCAGTTGAGCCCATCGTCTTGGTGATAACTAGAAGGCCTGTTCGAATTAGTGTCAGCCGGAAACAAGGCTGACCTGATAGCTAACCTCAGGCAATCTTCTCCTCTATTCTTGACGTTGACCATGGCCTGTTTTTTCTTATAGTAGGGGGGCAAGTCTAGGTATGACCCGCCTCTGAATGGCACGTAGTTAGCTATGTCTAGATAGACATTATCGATTTTATCAACAACCCACCCGGACCCCATGTGTGTGTAGCGTTCTAGGTATTCTCATATCTGCTGAAAACTGGTATCGATTGATGCGTCTATGGTCTCTGTATGAGTGACGACCTCCTGTTTACCTCGGAAGTAAGGCTGAAACCTACTCAGTGACCCCAGTGGGGGTTCCCCCCACGTTCTTATCAAGTGACATTTTCACTGTGATCTGAAACTTTATACTTCCCAGATTGTTTAGTTCCTGGTTGACTTTATCAGCTATCAGAGGCTTGATATCTGTGCTGTCTATGTTCCTATCAACATGCATGCTCCAGCCTCGCAAATAGTTACCTACAGCACGCTCAGTGGGTATGAACTGTAGGTCAATAGCTCTATTCTGCCATAATAGTTCTACAAGCTGTGGCTTCCTCATACGGGAATAACCACCTTAACCCAAATTGCGTACCTCGGCTTTTAATTGTTTTACAGTGGGGAGCTGACGGTGAACGGGGTCATGTGATAACAATGGGACTAACCCGGCTCTCCCCAGGTGGGAATAACCCGTGAACCCAAGCTCTTTTGCTTGGACTTTAAATTGTTTTACCATAGGAGGGGCTTGTATGTTAAGTAATCTCAACACTGCTGATTTGGTCATTCGAGAATAACCAATTACACCCCGCTGCCTCGCGATCTGCTTGAGCTCACTAATAGTAGTCATAGTTGCGTACACACCTAGGTATATCAATCTCTAATTGGGCCGCCGGCAAGGGAGGTAACTCCTCCAACCTTGATTAAAAAAGTAGTGAGGCGCCCATAAAATCAGAGGGTTATATCTCTATACTTAGATGGGCCGTTTCGATCCAGTACTTACACTGGGGGATATAGTATTCCTTGAAGTTGTGCAGGGATTCCTGTATACTTGTAAAACAATTTATCTGGTATTGAGTCGTGATGCCCCGCCCACATGTGCAGGGGAGAGTATACTAAACACCCTCTTTAATCCATGCCGCTTCCAATATGACCTGAAATCTGAAGCGTCCCCATAAGTTCAGTTCATCTTTGAGTATGTTTTTGACCAGAGATTCGATGGCGGGTATACTTTCCCTGGGCTCAATTTCCACAAACATAGTTATCCCTAGGTGTGTCCTCCTCTAATTGGGGGTCTATCCTGAGGAGGCGCCTACGTTCTTTTATGAAGGCCTTTTTATTCTCGTAGATGAGATGATGTCTGACTACGTTTGCTCCGTGAGCTTTGCATAGGCAGTAGTGCCCTTTAACCCCTATACCACACACAGAACACGTGTAGTTAGGGCTTCCCATGTGTAAACAACAGTACCCCTCAGTCCTGCATCTCCTACCACAGGCTTCTTTCTTCCCCATAAGTATGTATTCGCATTGGTATGGAGCAGATCTCATCTTTAGCATACTTATATGAGTACTTAGTCTAATTGTTTTGCAACCAACGCAGTCGCTGCTATACCCAGCGCAATGAAGACCAGTTCACGGTCCATTTGCCCCTTGGATGGTATGTAGTGCTGAGCGAGTGTGGGGTTATGTAGTGGTTTCAGCTGTTTACCTGTTAGTAGGTAGTATTCTCTCGCTGCGTCGTCGACATCGTGGAATGTTTTAACGGCATGGCTCTCACGCCTGAGTTGTTCGTTAATGTAATCGATCCTCTGAACACGTTTTTTCGCGTACTCGGATTGTGCCGATTGTAATTTCTCAATAGCAAGGTCGTGCCGCTTACGCTCTGCCTGAATCTCAGCCACGTGTGACTCTCGTAGTTTCGAGAAGAGGAAATTACTCCCGGAAAATGCCAGGGCATTTACTAACTTCCACCAACCATCATGGCAATCGTGAGCCATCCTATATTTACTTCATAATATTTTCAGGTAGTATCCCTTGTTTTACTAGGATGTCCTTTGTGGCCATCGCCATACCAAGGTTCATTATGAGCATACCCATATCCTGCAGGTTGAAATCTAGCTTAATAGTCGGTTGTTTAAGCACCA